TCCCGCCGGGTGTGCGCAACCGTGGGGGCATGGTTGGAATTCCTATCAGACACTATTCTTGCCTCAGTAACTTTTTGGTAGATTCTTTCATTCAGAGAATCTCGCATACTAATTTGGGGTGGGTGGTGACAGGAGATACATATTATTGGTCCCCGGCATTCAGTTTAGGGGTTCACCTCCTGGGCATTTGGAAGTGGTCAAGGGGCACAGGGCTCAGAAGCTGTTGGCTTGAAAATCCCTCTTGTGATTCAGAGGCTGGCTTAGCATCCAGAAGAAAAAAATAGTTTAATTATCTTAAGAGATTATTCCCAAATTATTTATAACTTCCTTAACATTCTGTTGATTAGTAGCTAACACAAGTAGTTGTGAAATGAATCTATTTACATTAAACGAGACAGGAAAAGACTGGATAAGTACTCTCTATGTATGTGTTGTTTGATATATCTGTGTTATGGAAGAACTCATTTTCATTACATATTTTCAGTGTGTGTGTGTGTGTGTGTGTGTGTGTGTGTGTGTGTGTGTGTGTGTGTGTGTACACCTGTGTGGCCAAGGATTGAACCCAAGGTCTTGAACGCACTAGGAAAGTGCTCTCTGACTGAGCTGCGTCACCAGACCTCCTCACTCATGTAGAATACCGTAGAGAGAAAGGAGAGGCTTGCCTGTAGACCAAACAGAATTTCCTAAGGAGCTGGAAATGTAAAGCTGCATCCCCCCAAATTTCCAACTTCCATAATTTCTATCTCCTTCATTTTCATGATAAGCTACTTTACAAACACTTGAATATTCTATCCTCACACCACCACAGCATTGCTCAGCATCTGCTTCAGTTTTCAATAAGAAGTAATCCACATCAATTGTCCTCCAAGAGGACGCTGATGCCAACGTCTAAGCTTCAGGAAAAACACTCATCCGCCATGCTTTCCAACACTGTTCATGAAAAAGAAACAGTGGTGGGATTGCTGACAAGACCAAAGGTGCTCATAAGAATGAGGGCAGGATACAGCACAGGCCTGTGCAAGGCTGGGGTGGGGCACGGTTGGTCTTCAGCACCTGAAGAGAAGGAAGGGAGGAGGAGATGGGTAGAGAGGGAGGTTTTACCACAGTGAAGTTTAAATGATCGCTTCTTTTTGTTGTTGTTGTTGTTGTTGGTGGTGGTGGTGGTGGTGGTGGTGGGATATGTGTGTGTGTGTGTGTGTGTGTGTGTGTGTGTGTGTGTGTGTGTGTGTGATGTGTGTCTGTGTAAGCATGCATGTGAATGTCAGAGGACAACGTTTGGGAGGCAGTTCTCTCTTTTATGTGGGATTCGGGACAGGACAGCTTGCAAGTCCATGGAGGGTGATGCCTTTTACCTGCTGAGTGGCCCTGCTGAGCCTGCCAAACCTCTTTTCATCACTGTGCTTTGTCCCAATGCTCTGGTGACCCAGTTCTCTCCTTCAGTGCAGAAAGAATCTTCCCACCTCGGGTTCTGACTGGGTTAACATGGAGTTTAACTAAATGTCTTCCCCCCCCCCCCCCCCCCCCCCCGCCCCCGCCCCAATACAGTTATTTCCCATTTCTACTGATGCTCAGAAATGTGGCCTTATTTTTGTACAGCACAGACACGTGTTGGTGTTCTGGGCCCCTATATTTCCCTTGTTCCAACGTCCCCTGTGTGTTTTGTGAGTCGGTGGAATCTTTTTAACAGGACAGTGTTGGCTTTCAGGGACACTGTTCTCTCCATTTCCTGACACCCACTGAGTCTTCTGGAAACACAATGGCCTTTGTCCTTCCCAGACAGACAAAAGGTTAAAGGAAGGAGATCCGCAGGTGGTATCTGTCCCTGCCTGCACCTGAAGGACAGCAATCCCTGTTTATCTACTGTGCTCTGGTGTCTGGCTCTCCCCTTGTGTTTCTGGTCACCCACACGTGAAAGGCTCCACAGCACTGGGGTTTCCTTCAGGTCATTTCTTTTGTTTCTGTTCCATTCCTAGTAATAAGCCTCTGGCTCTAAAACAATGTATTGATGATGATGATGATGATGTATGTATGTATGTATGTATGTATGTATGTGTGTATGTATGTATGTATGTGCCACTGCATGTGTGGAGGTCAGAGGACAACTTGAATGTCTGTTCACTCTTTCGCCTTTTACATGGTTTCAGGGGTTGAATCCTGGTTGCCAGCTTCTGGGACTGACCTAAGACATCACACCCATGGGCCCCAAGACTCTTGCTTTCAAATTGGTCATGATGCCTCCTTCTGATAACTTCATGCTTTTGTTTATGAATTTTTAAACTTGTTTATTTTGGGACATGGACTATCTGTCTCACCCCATTCTCCTTCTTCACCCCATCCTTGGGTGTGCTGGGATTCTGGGTGTATTTTTGAAAAACAGGGGTTTAGTTTCTTACTTTTCTTAGAAGCATTGGCCTTACTGTTATGAATTATTCACGCGTGGGAAACCCCCAGCTGGCCAGGCCAGGATATCCCACTGTGCAGGGAACCATGTTGGCATGCTGGGCAGATGCGCTGCAGGCTGGGGGGTGACCCACTCCATGTGGGCATGGCGGCGGGGAGGTGGGTAAACATTCACAACCCAGACAGTACATCCGTGTGGAAACGGTTTATTATAATAGACAAAGAGAAGATAGGAAAGAAGAGAGGAAGAGAGAGAGAGAAAGAGAGAAAGGGGTGGAGTTTTTACTTAACTTCTTTGTCAGGACCCAGAGCGGTCCCAAGGGGAGGGTCAGAATATTAACACTTACCACTTTTAAAAAGATGCTTGTAAAGTGAACAACGTAGTATTCTTACTTTTCCTAGTCCTCAGTTGTGCTATTCCCGTGTCCAGTTATTCAGACATCAGCAGGGAGGCCCAGAACAAACCACATCAGTACATCTCTCTTTACACTTTCTCATCTGTATCACCAGATACTAACTCATCTTGTTTATCTGTTTATTTATTTTTATTTGTCTGTTTGCTTGTTGTGAGCCTGGCTCTCACATTTGTTGTCCAGGCTGGCTTTGAACTCCTGGGCTCAAGCAGTTGCCTTGCTGGGGCTCCATTTGGGTACCCCAGTGCCCTGCTCTTACCATTTTAAAAACATGTTCACTCATTCTGCGTTCATGCTTATTTCAAAGATCCTTGTGGATCAAGTGGTATGCCTATGAAATAGTAGTTTCCTTCATGATGCAGGGCTTTATCTTTGGGGATCTGAATTTTTTTTTCTCTCATGTCTGGAGACATTAGACACAGAAGACACAGAGGAGCTTAAGAGGGCCCGGACCTTGGTACAAGGATGGCCACTGCAGTCTGGTGAAAACCAGCTGATCCAAAATTGTCCTGCCTAGCAATTCTATTGTTGATTGGTTCTGGAGTTTCATCCATCACCGGTTTCAATCCTAAACTCAGTTCCGTTTCTGAAGAGTCAGTTCCCAGGCCAGCCTTCAGCCTGAGCCTGACACCAGCCACCTCCGCATGCCCTCCTGGCTTTCCTCAAGCACTGGATTGACAGCAAAAAAATACTAAACTGCTCTTTTAATATACATTAAGTGATCATTTGTTTTTCTCACTAGGAATTAAAATTTAAGCTTTCTAAGTCATTTTTAGGTACTTTGTCTCTTTCCACCCATTAACATTCAGCGATCTTTTGAAGTAAAGGGGGATAACTGTGAACATACCAATGGGACACTGTCGCTTTCCTTCTCTCTTTCTCATCTGTCCTTGTAATCAGAGTCCAGTGGCCAAGTGTGGCAGGTTTGACCTGACGCCCAGGCCTATGGAGACTAAGGCAAGGGGCAAAACTCAAGGTCAGGCTAAGCCACACATAGTACGACCCTGTCAAAACAAACAAACAAAAAGACAAAAACAAAAGAAGTCATCAGGATTATACATAGCTAACGAAGTCTTAGAGAAGAATGCAGAAGTGGATCCAGCGTGTGAAAACCACAGGGCTCATTCATACATCTGTGGCTTTAGGGTGCATTATGTGCTATGAAGGCCAAATGTCTCGGCTTGACCTGAGAGCTACTGAGGAAGAGTGAGATTCTGACAGAACTCTAAAACACACTCCTCTCCTGTTGTAACTCCATAGCTGGAATTTTTTTTATTATTTCTTTGTGAAAGCTGAATATATTTTAACCACATTAATATTCAGCTACAGATTGATTAGAGAAAATTAGCACTCGATTAAGAATGATTTTGCAGGTCGTGGCGGTGGTGGTGCACGCCTTTAATCCCAGCACTTGGGAGGCAGAGGCAGACGGATCTCTGTGAGTTCAAGGCCAGCCTGGGCTACAGAGTGAGTTCCAGGAAAGGCGCAAAGCTACACAGAGAAACCCTGTCTTGG